GAAAGGCAAAGGATGAACGAATTTTACGGGAAAGTAAAGTTTTAAGTAAAATGCCGAAAATATCGGAACTGTTTCCTCCGAAGGCTGATGAAGGTTCTTCTGAGCTGACTGCTGCAGATGAAGCGATGACAACAATGGCAGAAGCAGTTGAGGAACCCGACACCGGCGACACATCCAAGGAGTTGACATCTGGTGATACGTCCATTTCCACTGATAACAATGATGGATACTCTTGTGATTTGGGATTATGGCCTACTGATATTTCTGACAATATGAGAGAGCACTGGGCAGGTCAAGGGAGTAGTCAGTGCAGAAATTCCGATGCCGATTTCAGCGCAACATCAACAAGATATGAGGAGATGCTTACAATAGACGATGTCAAAAAACTTTGTTCACGTACACACATGAGCTTACAAAACAGCAACATCCTCGAAACTGGCTCTGCTATTCACCATCCAAACATGTCGTGTTCTGTTTTGCGTGTAAACTCATGACTGACAGCATCGTTTTGGAAAACAAGGTTATAATGACTGGAAACGCGCATCCCAGTCAATTCCACGACATGAGAAAAGTTCAGCGCACCGTAATGCTGTTTTCAGCTACTCCAACGTAGCGATGCTGGCTGCCGTATTGATTCAGAACTGGTCACACAGGCCAGTGATGAGCGTAACTATTGGCGGGCAGTACTTGAGCGGGTAACAGAAACCATCCGTTACCTTTCCGAGCGAAGTTTACCATTTCGCGGCACTGATGAGATCGTTGGATCGCCAAAAAACGGTAACTACCTGGGAACATTAGAACTTATATCGATGTTCGATCCATTTCTAGCGCAACACATCAACCGTAATGCAAATAAGGAAAGGGTCACACATCCTATCTCTCAAAGACCATTTGCGAGGAATTCATCCAACTGATGGCAACTCGAGTTCGCGAGCAGATTTTTACAGAAGTTAAAGCTGCAAAGTATTTCTCCGTCTGTGTAGACTCTACCCCAGATATTTCCCACGTTGATCAACTGACATGCATTCTTCGATACGTTTTACCCTCTGGTCCTGTCGAACGATTTGTATCTTTCCTTAACATACGTGGACATCGCGGAAAACTGCTAGCTGAAAGGCTACTAGATTATTTGAAACCAATAATATAAATATTTCGGATTGCCGCGGCCAGTCATATGACAATGCAAGCAATATGAGTGGGAAATATAATGGTATGCAGGCCATTATTCAGCAACATTGTAGCCTAGCACAGTACATACCCTGCGTTGCACATTCCCTTAATCTTGTTGGACAATCATCTGCCAGTTGTTGTCAAGAAGCATCAAGATTCTTCAACTTCCTCCAACGATTGTACTCTTTCTTTGCTGCTTCAACGCATCGTTGGAAAGTTTTAACCGACCAACTTTCAAGCAAGAGACTTCCAACGGTTAAACGTATGTCTGATACTCGATGGTCAGCACGTGCAGATGCTACAAAAGCTCTAGTAATAGGATACGAGGAAATTAATGCTGCTTTAGACGAGATCCATGATGATCAAGATGAGAAGCCTGAAGCCAAAATGAAGCCAATAGTCTTGCGTCTGATATGGCCCAGCTTGAAATTGGAATTCTGGCAGCATTATGGCATCAAATCTTGCAACGATTTCAGAGAACAAGTCAGATCCTGCAATTAGCTGATCAAGATCTCAACACTGCTGTTGCATTATATGAATCGCTGATTGAGTTTGTCCTTTCGCTGCGAACCAGATTTGAAGAATTTGAAGCCAAAGGAAAGGAGCTCAGTGAATGTGATCAATATAAAGAAGAGATCAAGCGCGTGCGTAAACGAAATCGTCGTAACGACGAGCCAGGATCAGCACCTGATTTGTTGCAGATTCCAGCCGACAAGTTTCGCACAGGTACTTTCCTTGTAATAATCGATAGTCTGGATGCTGAGTTGCGAAAACGACTGAGTGCTTACATCAACATTGCTGAAAAGTTTGGCTTTCTGCGAAAGCTTACAGATCTGCCAGCTGAAGACGTGTTGGAAAACGCACAAAGATTGCAAAAAGCATTTTCCACTGACCTCGAAGTCAATTTGGGTGATGAATTGCTCCAGTTTTCTAGCTTTCTCAACACAGAATTCGTGAAAAGAGCATTAGATGCGAGTCATGCAGCTGCACCTCATTATTCTTCAGCTCGAATTGGATCTTCTGCTCAGCCTAGTGAAGACCATGACATCGATGTAACATCCGATGATGATGACGACATCAAAGTGAACGTAGACTCCTAGAACTGCGTATATACAGGTTTCTTGTGGGAAATAACCTGGAAACTGTATTTCCAAACACTGTTATTGTGTTTCGCATTTACCTCAGTATGATGATATCAAATTGTTCTGGTGAACGGTCGTTCTCGAAATTAAAGCTAATAAAGGATCATCTTCGTTCAACCATGACACAGGAACGACTAAATAGCCTTGCTCTTCTGAGTATTGAAAATGATGTTCTGCGTAGTATTGATATGTCATCCCTGATTAATGATTTTGCTCTTATGAAATCCCGTAAGCATAACGTTTATAAGGCTTAACACTTCTGCACAGTAAAACCTTTTACGTCTTTTTTTTATCGTGTTTATTATATTAGTCTGTTTAATATTGGTATGTAATGTTTGGTATACGTACGTGATTGTAAATTGGAATTATATTCAACGTATTGGTTTAAATAGGCCAAAATACGAGGTTTTATTGTTTGAGTTAAAAAAACAGTTTTTCATTGCATTTTGGTAAACACAGGGGTTGGGGCAAGGGCCCCGCACTGATATTATGCCATGGGCCCCGCAAAATGTTAATCCGGCCCTGACACCACCCCCCAACCCAACTGCTTGCTTTTTCTTTGTCTTCTATACAAGAATATCTGCCTTTTCCATGCTTCAATTTTAATAAAGTGTTTTGAAATCATATTGCACTTCAAACTGTAGGACAATTTCTTTTTTGTGTGTGTTTTACCATAGTTTTCTCTGGGAGTATTGTTACATGTTAGTAATTGTAGATCGTCCAGGTTGGTTTAAGCCAAGGCCACACTATCGTCTATATCGACGAAAATTAGAACGAAAACTTCCGCAACGAAAATTTTGAACGAAAACTCGTCGAAAATTTCGTTTTCGTTCATATTAGAAGGGTTGAACTTTTGACCTTTTTCGTCAACGAAAACGCATACTATTGGCTAAAAATATCTTGATAATATCAGACTTTGTTCTCAAACATGGCGGAGTGGCAAGAGGTTTTGATAAATCTGATGCGAGAAAAACCAATTTTGTATGATAAAAGTCACCCGGATTATAAGGACTCGAGGAACAAGAAAAGAAATCACTGGCAAGATGTTTTAGATGAATTTAATAAAATTACGGACTTGGCGTGTGATAGTGAGTATTATTGATAGTCCGCCGACAAACTTTTTATATCAAGTCATTCATTTCCATTACTTTTTAAACATTTTAGCAGTAACTTTTTCTTAAGAAGAAGTAATCTTTTTCTTTTAGAGATCGCCATTATTTCTAATCCGTCAAAAATGCCGCTTGCTTATTGGCCAATAATGTTTTGGCTTTGCAAACATGCTTGAAATTTTTCGTCGTGTCTGGCATGCATTTCGTGCACGAATTTTCGTTTCGTTTTCGTTTTCGTCGATATAGACGATAGTGTGGCCCAGGCTTTAGTCCTGAGAAGGACATGTTTGACATTTTTTGACTCTGAAGATGACTATCGCTAAGGTTTTCGAAACGTCAGTCAACAACAACAAAAACAGTCCTTCTCAGTGCTAAACCAACCTGGACAATCTTACATTTACAAACATAGTTTTCCCTGTTGGATAAGACTTGTTGTGTGGCATCTCGGCCAGGCCTTGCCAGATCAGCTAAGCTTAGTCCCCACGCCTTGGTTTTTCTTGTTGGTTATTGTACAAATTTTGTTTGAAATAATATCTGAATAGTCGGCTGTTCCAATATTGCGCAATTTGCTATCTTTTGACACCGTGAAAAGGGTGTCAAGTGTCAAGCTAATCACATCGTCAAGTGTTAAAAACCCCGGATCTTGCTGAATAATCAATTTCATTATCAGCACAGATGTATTATTACATTAACTACTTAATTTATGCAACTTATTCTTTATCAAAACTGAGATGATCAGTTTATAAAACTGCAACAGGGTGAAAGTAAAAATTTGAAATAGACAAGAGTCACAAGATTTAACATGTTTTAGTATAACAATCAAAGTACTGTAGAAAAACATCCTTTTTTACTGGCCATTATAAATAAATTTCTAGCAAATCAGGGTCATAGAAATAGATATATCTGTGTGTAAATGAAACCAACATTATTTTATAGATGACGTGACTTGTTTAAGTTTTGCTAGGAGGCAGGTTTAATTGAGTGCTTTTAGACAAACTGGAAACAATGGTTAACCTCCCATGGGATAAATCTGTCGGCCAGCAAACTGTAAACAAGCTTACTCTGAATATTAAATTCATCTATAAGCTCAGCTCAGTGAGCTAACGAGTCAACCGGTTCACCCCCCAACTGCTTGCTTTTTCTTTGTCTTCTATACAAGAATATCTTCCTTTTCCATGCTTCGATTTTAATAAATTGTTTTGAAATCATATTGCGTTTCAAACTGTACCACAATTTCTTTTTTTGTGTGTGTTTTTCCATAGTTTTCCCTGTTGGATAAGATTTATTGTGTGGCACAGCGGCCAGGCCTTGCCAGACCAGCTAAGCTTAGTCCCCACGCCTTGGTTTTTCTTGTTGGTTATTGTACAAATTTTGTTTGAAATAATATCTGCATTAGTCGGCGGTTGGATTATTGCGCCATTTGCTATCTTTTGACACCGTAGAAAGGGTGTCAAGTGTCAAGCCAATCACAGCGCAAGCATTTTGTGCGTGTGACACCATGAGACCTGGATCAACACCTTAGCCATAATTTTGTTGCGCAATGTCTGTGACATCGTTGCAGATGGGAAATAGTAGTAAATCAGCTTGCCAAAATCAATGATATTGATAACAGTGATTGATACATATTATATCTACCATGGTCTCTTACACTGCGAGTATTGATATTCTGCTCTATACTAAGTCGAAGTTTCAGTTGTTTGAATATTCAAGAAGGTATTTCCATCGAATTTTTAAGCTGAAGAAGCTTGTGAACGCTTTTTGGTGCAAGATAGAGCTTGAACAAGCAAAATTGGAATAGTGACGAAGAGTATGATCTTGTGATTTTTCAGAATTGCCTTTTCCGCAGAGTCAGAATGACATATAATGCTTTGTGCATCAGTAAGGTAAGATTCTGACATAGTTACTTGCTATAGATGATAAAAATCACTCAATTATGCTTATGGCCCTTAATGATGTATGTATCAAATGGACTTAATATGGTGGTCATTCACTCAAAGTTCATTAAAATGACCTCGTATTTTCATTTAATATAAGCCATCTCCTTAATTATTAAAGCTTGCTATAACACTACAGCTGTGTCCTTGAAGCTGTTTGCTTTGTACACTATTGATATATATGTATATAAAATAATGCTACTTCTCAATTTTTAATTCTTGCCATAACACTGGAACTGCATTGCTGAAATTGGGTTGCTTTGACCATAAAGATATAGAAATAAGCTACCTCCTCAGATCTAAGCACTTTCTATAACACTGCAACTTTGTTCTCTAAGATGTTTACTTTGTAGGTATTGTTATATTAATAATAATTATCCTTCTCAATTTTTAAAGTTTGCTGTAAAATTGCAACTAATTCTCCAAGCTGGCTGCTTTGTACCCTATAGATAAATAAATAATGAGTCTCTTCCTCGATACATAACATTAAGCTTGCTAATTTGTTGTATAGCTGAAGCTCATTGCTTTGGACATGATCATTCTCTAACATTAAAAAAATAATTTATGTACCTCAACTATATAACTATATAGTAATATTTTCTACTCAACTTGCTTTAGTACATTGGCTGATGGAAAATGTCTTTACAATGTTTGTTCTATTGTCTTGATTGCAAATGAAAATCTTTCCACCATACTGCGGGGCCTCACCAGCATTGAGTTATATGAAAATACTTCATACTATGCTAAGCACCTCCTTTAATTCTCAGTAAAGACCGAGAAAGCAAGGTTATTAAAAGGATTATTATATGTCATTATTTGACCTGAAACGAAGTTTGATTTCTTTCTCGTCTTTGATGTTTTTACGGGTTGATTTTCACTTTTCTAGATTTCGTCCATAAAAAATAAATCGTTTAAATTGTATCGTCTGCATAGTTTAACTGTTTTCCAAGTGTTTTTCCTTCGAATCACATTCGTAAATGGTTTTTTGTTTCGTGTTTTTTTTGCGTTTTACTGTTTGCTTTACGAAGTTTGTTTACATTTGATTGTAAAATTACGCATTTTGGACCGTGGTCGATTACGGGAAAATAATGGACCGGCAAAATGTTTCTGAGCCAATCAAAGCGCGCCACTTAGCCGGAAGTGACGCTTGCCTTATAATAATTACCATTATTTACCATTATAGTTACTATTACTTACCATTGTCTACCCTTACTTACCATTACTAACAATTACTTACTTTATTTTTAGCTTTTCTGCAATGTTATTGGTTATATATATTCTGTTAGGGTGATGGATCCCTTGTGGTACAAAATGCGCTGGTTATTGAAAACTTGAATTTAACTCCGTATTGTGAAGACTATAAAAGACTTGGCTTTGGCTCTGTACTTGAGGAACGTATAGGGAGTAAAAGTGGATCTTGGAGGCTTTCTATTGTCAATCTTTCGTACGCAGCCTGTCGAAGGTAAAGTTGGGAAAAATGGAGGAGATAATTTTCAATTACTGAATTGTTATGCTCAAAATTTCCGAATAAGACTTAGGAGCATTTAACCCTTTCTATATTACCATAAGTGTTTTCAAACTCATATTTACTATCCTATGATATATTTTTTTGTGCAAAAGGGTAAGCTTTACAAGTCTTTGAAAAATAAACATGTTTCAAAAAATAGTCATCATATTGTGGATTTTTCTTTCAGTTACCCGGCTGTTTTAGTGGTGCCACAACACGTGACCGATGACTCTTTGTTGCACGTGTCTAAAAACCATCGCCATATGCGTTTTCCTGTTGCGACGTGGAGACATAAAATCAATAAATTCGCCGTTTTATTGCGATCTTCTGCCATTGAACGAAGCTCTGTCGCATCCATCAATCGCTCTGGTGAAGCTGCAAGTTGTGGAAGCGCTGACGCAATACGTTCATTCAACTTGGAGCAAGATAAATATTTATCTGCCGTTGGTTAGTTGTTTATATTTATCGTTTCAATCAACGCTCATCCTTTACCCTCACATGTAACTGACCTCCCCAGCGCAATGCCCCCTCCCACATACACACAGATCTATTACCGCCCTTGGTATCACAGCAATATATATTATTTTACTATAATTATGGGTAAGGTTTTGTGGATTCTCGTTTTGGTTTGAATTAAAGTATCCTCAAAAAATAAACGAGAACTAATGAAAATGAATTGTATAATTGTTTTTCTAAAACTGAGTGATCAATTTAGATATAGCTTGATTGTCTACGCTATATCTAAATTATGGATACTGTTGATTTTTGTAAAATATTTATGAATTACAATATAAGTATTTAGGGACTGTTTGCCATTCTTTAAGTTTTATTAACATTAGTAAATGTACCTGCATTGATCACTTTTTCTTATGGATCCTAAAGTTTTGCTTTAAGCATTATTATGTGCTCATGTAATCGTGATTTTCTATGCTTTTAGATTTTAAGTGTCTTCAAATCCTGTGTCGTGGAATAAAGCGGAGACGAAACATCGTTCACTGGCAGCCAACGTCAACATGTCTAAAGCAACGATGAATCTACCATCAAATGACAATGCATCTATAAGTGTTTCTGTTGTGGATTCCGTTGACAAAGCAATAACTGAGCAATGATGAGAGCCTGCTGCACTGTACGTTTTTTAATCTTTCTTGGTGTGTTTATTATCTGTATTTTTTATTTTTACGATGGTCAATGGCGATAGTAGTGTAAGCCCTCAATACCCAAGCACAAGATCTTACTTTTATCATATCCAGTTCCTTTGAAATCGAATATGTTTTTTTTTCAGTTCCATTTTAATATGCATATATAAATATTCTCCACTCCCCCCTCCTCCCAATGATCGAACTGGCTATGTCTCTGCTTCACGTACGAACAACTACAGTTAATACTTCATGTTGTTTTTTTGTAGGTGAGACGTCATTTGCTCAAGTACTGTTAGATCCATACTACCAAACGATTAATGGTTTTAAAGTTTTTGTTGAAAAAGAATGGTTGAACTTTGAACATTGCTTCTCACATCGCTGTAATCATACACATTCAACGCAATCAAGTGAATTCACGCATGTTTTCTTGCAATTTCTTGATGGCGTCCATCAGGTTATCATTGTTTCTTAAAGTTATCTTAAAAAATTGGCGTTAAGATGGGTCTGATGTCTGTCGTCTTAGTATTGTGCGAAATATTTTTTTATATTAGATTAAAAAAAAACGTTTGATCAAAGCTTGAGTTAAGCATGAGTTGTTTGTTTGAACACTTTATTCGATCAAAAATTTTAGTCATGAAGTTAAGGCGCTTTTCTCACCATAAATTTGAAATATACATTTAACTCTTAAAAGCAACTCTTTCGTGGTCATTATCTTCAAAGTTTTCTTGCATTGTAAGACTCCATAAACCTCTCAATGACTGTTTCAGTATCTTGTTAAATATCAAACTTTTTAAAATGCATAGATCAGGTTCAAAAAATAACTTCTCTAGATAGTTAAATTCATTTTAAGAACATATGCACAATATTTTTTCAATGGTCTTTTCGGGCCCAGAAATAAGTTACTCATCGCCATCAGTGACGCACTTAGAAGAACACGCTCGTTTCGTAAAGTAAAAACACCGTATATTATTGAAGAATTTAGGTGGGAAATGTTTAGACATCGATTGTCTCCCATCTTTTTTATTTGCTTTAATTCAAAATTAATGATAAAGTGACTTAGCTATTTGTTCATATTGTTTGTGTTCTTAGTTACTTATTTTTATATGAAAGTTTGGAAAAATTACTCATATCTACATATTTTTTATGTTCTCAGATATTACGTCAGTATCCACTATTCTTCGAATTCAACGAGTATTATTTACATTTCCTCGCCTATCATCATGTCTCCATGTGTTTTCGTACGTTTTTACTGGATTCAGAGCACGAACGTGTGCAGATGGGTTGGCTATCAGATGCTGAAAAGAAAGATGCAAAGACTTCTAAATCTCACATAAAAAGTCTTTGGGATTACATCGACATGCTACACAAAAAATCATTATTTTATAATTTCAAGTTTTCGAAAGAACATTCTGAAAAGGTGAGTTGTTGATTTGCAGCTATATTTTAGCAAATCTTTGCAGCAACAGTTCGCATGCAATACAATGAAATTACCTGCATGCTTTTCGGTCATGTAGTTGTGTAATCACCGTCAAGTTGATTTAAAACAAGATCAATAAAAGACAGGCATTTAACTCAGCTTATTTTTGAATGGACGCCTTGTTTATCTTCATTTAGTAAATCTTAGAATATCCTTGATTTGTCGTGTTGTACTTAAAGTGACTTTATTGGACTGTAAAACCCATTGAACTAAATAGAACTGGAATTTTACTTCCCGCCAAAAACATAAAGCCAGCAATTTAACTGGTCCCAATCCTTCCAGGCACGGCCTAAAAAGTCCATTTACAGTGATAAGCTAGCGGGATTTCACCCACACACACGCGTGTCTGAGAGTAAAATTTTGTAGAGACAATGGTTAAACCTGAATATTTTTCTTCTCAAGACAAAAATGATGACAAATACGTATGTCTGTGTATAATTATATTGTGCGATGTTTTTAATGAGATACAACAAAATTTGAACAAAATTTGTTTGTGTAAATAGGAAAGGTTTGATTATAAATTGGAACGAAAATATATTTTTGTTGCTAGAATTTCGCTCACAAACACAATAATTATAATTTATTGAGCATCTAAAATATGTATAGTATCTCACAAGGACTCGTTCACTTTATTTTCTCTAGATGATTTTCTTCTCGTAAACCAGATTTAATACATTATTTCTAAATTCCCAGGTGCTTCGTCCTCACTGCAAAGTTTGCAATCTAAAATTATGGAGTTATTTTGTTTCGGAGAATGTCTCCACTGGTCCAGAGTTTGATCAAGAAGTCATAAATGACGCAGAAACTGCTGCCGAGGAAGGACAACAGAAGTTAGAAGACAAGTATGAAGCCAACAGGTATAAAATAAGATATTGCGTTAAGAAGTAAGCGCGTTTCCATTTAAAACTTAGCAAAGTACCTCTACGATTTGCGTGTTTCCATTAAAAATTAGTGAAGTACTTCGATACTTAGCGCGTTTTCATTTGAAAATTATTGAGTACTTTAATAGTTAGGATGTTTCCATTTAAACATTATGTAGTGCTTCCATTGTTAGCATGTTTGTATTAAAAAATAATTTTAATTCCATTCGTAGCTTGCATGCTTAATTTTTTGTTGCAAACTTTACTATAAGTTTAAAAAGGTGATTTATAATATTCAACCATGCGTAAATTATTGAATAAAATAGCTAACGCTTCATATTGTTTACTAGACGCTGTCGAAGTGGTATGTTTTGTGGATCGGTTCATTACGACAGTAGTAGCTGCGCATATCATTTGTACGAATATAATCGCATCGAAGAAGAGGCTTACAAACACGCAACTCGTTGGAAAAAAATATGGGAGCGTTTGGAACAGCCTAAAATAACGAAAACGGTATTTATAGCAAAGATACTTTCATTGTGACATGTTGTTTTACTTTTACTTTGTAGACGTTAAGTAAAGGTCATCCACTGGATTTTTTGTAAATGGCTTGTGAATATCATATTTTAAGTCTCATTTAGGCAGCATAACTACTTTTTTCTTACTGCAGTGTGTGCATGGTGTGAATACCATTACAGATTGGAGTGTGTGCATTGTACGTATGAATACCGTTGCAGATTGTGGTGTGTGCATTGTATGTATGAATACCATCAGAAACTGGAGTGTATGCATTGTATGAATACCAGACTGAAGTGTCTGTCATGGTATGAATACCATTACAGACTGAAGTGTGTGCATGGTATGAATACCATTACAGACTGGAGTGTATGAACACCAGACTAGAGTATGTGCATGGTATGAATACCATCACATACTCTGGTGTTTGCATGGTACGAATGAACACCATCACTGACTTGCATTTTTTCTTTAAAGTGTTTAACATACAACGAAGAACTTTCCAGAGTCCGTAGTGGTGTACTACACAAACGAGATACGATGGACATAATACTTGAGGTAGTATTTATGGTTCTTTTTCTTTATGATTAATTTATATTGATTGTAGATAATTTATAACTTCAATGACCATTTTATGATTACGTGATCTTGAATCAATTATCCCGTTCATGCAATATACTCGTTCTATTGTGTGATTTTTGATAAAATAATTTCTATATACAAAAGGATTTTTGTAATAGTTTGGCAACTTATAAAATAGCACTTTTTTAACATTTTGTTTTGCATTGCTGGTAGCACTAAACCATGAAATTCACGTATTCATGTTTTTTGGAATATGTTGTATTCTTTAAGAACTAGAAAACACTTTCTGAGTTTCTTGAGAGTTTTAGAAACACGTGATTGGGAGAAACAATAAATAACATTCTATATAAATCAATAGGAATAGGCAAATATTTTTTTGTATTTTCTTTATGAAATAACGTTTTAAGAAGAATATATAGACAATGAATTCTTGAATTTTAATAACATGTTGTTTATATTTTTGCATTGAAACTTTCCGCAATAACCACGCAAGTTTTTTAATAATTTTGGGAGACTGAAGCTCTCGTGAAATAAAGGGTTTTATAGACACGGTATTTTCGAGCATTGCACTAATCAGCACCCGTGTTTTTTAAAGTTTTTTTTCACACAATGTTAGATTGGTATCATGCTGCCATTTTGAAAGTTTCTCGAACACAGTTTGTACAAAATTTTAATGTCTCCGAATTCTGATTTTTTGATAAAATCTTGAAAAGTAGTCAGTTAACGCATTAGTTTAATCTTCATTTATTTTCTTTTTGCTGAAATGGAGGTAAAATTGACATCTTAAAGTTGCAACTTTTGTAAGGTGACCTACCTTGTGGCGGCTCACTTCACATGACAACACACCTTTTGTACTGGTTTCAGTAAATAATTTGTTTTGTTAAGTGACCTACCTTGTGGTGGCTCACTTCACATGACAACACACCTTTTGTACTGGTTTCAGTAAATAATTTGTTTTGTTTAAATTTTCATAATACGTTGATTCCTTTGTTACGTTAGTTAGGCTTTCCATGCCTGTCAAGATCTTAGCTTTAAAAAAATGTCAACATTGTTGTGTTTTGCAAAGAATAGACAGCAATTGCTTAAATTTGTAATTCAACATTATTTTTACAACTTTTGCTGAGTATTTATACCTTTGAAGTAGAGAGTAACTTTGTTAATTTTATAAAATGACCTTGTAGAAACTGATTTCACTTAGTTTCTTTTAAAGCTACATACTATGTGACAGATGTTACTTTTATATTTCAGGGAAAACTTCAAATCGAAGACTACAGTAACCAAGGTTTTTCACGACCTCATTCATTTGAACCTCACAGCTTCTTTACGCCAACCAACTGCGATTTCTGTCTACAAGTGATATGGAATATTGGAAAAGGAGGTGTGGTTTGCTTGTGTATCTATCTATCTATGATGGCCATACAGTTGACTTTCCGTTGCATCTATAAACACGCTTCTTTATCTTGTCTACTGTACAAAGTTTCTATGGAAATTTTGCTAATAAAATTTTACAACTAGCAAAGCTTTATAGCAGAATGCACGCGCGTTCATGTTGGTTAAATACACCCCTAGTATTAATTTATATCTGAAATGAAAGTGAAACAATCGCAGCCAGACAATATTTTTGTGCTAGATTTATGATAATTGTTATGTCATACAACTGATAATTTATTTCATGATGATTGTGACGCCGCTTTAGTCGATCATAAATTTTAATGAGTGTGTACCGTTGATAATTTAATAATTTAAGATATTTATTCAAGTAAGTCTATCCAAAATAAATTAAAATGGCTTGGCTCACCCCTGTCATCTTGATACCCCAAAACTGTTCACCACGCGTCGTAGTTATGTTAACGTTTTGTAGTGAGATTTTGGCTCCTGCCACCAAAAATTTTTTTGTATTTTAAAATGTGTTTTTTGTAGGATTCAGATGTACAGAATGTGGATACAACTGCCACGAGAAATGCTTATCACTTGTTCCTAAAACGTGTCCTAATTACAAAAATCTAAAAGACCAGAATGATAGCATGCCATCAACTAGTAACAAAAGCTTACATGAGGTACAATATAGTACACTAGTGAACTTCCATTGATGTTTGTTAACTGCAAACATTTTCCTTCACTTTAAATTTACAATTATATAATATGTAAACAAAGAAATATTGTAAAGTTTTACTTTATGTTATTGGGTTGTTTCTGATTAAGCTTTAGTTACACTAGCCAAAGTGATTTATCATGAATTAGTCATTTGAATAATCTTTATCATTTTATAGTCTCCAAGTAAAAACAAATCTTTGAAATTTTTATGTGGGTATCTATGGAAACGAGGTGCTTTATTCAAACAATGGAAGCAACGGTATTTTGTATTGGGTACGGAAAGACATCAGGTAATGTTCTTTATTGGCTATTTTAGCGAACGATATTTGGATGAAATGTGATAATGAAAGGTGGAAAACGGTGTAAAATAAAGCTTCAGATTGTCAACGTCTACTGGTTTCTGTTAAAAATTACTATAGAAGGGTTAACTTTGTTGTTTCTTACCATAGATTTGAACCTATTTGATTTAGTCCAAATCATACTTTGTGATACCTTCTTTTTGTGATTTCACGTTAATATTCCATTGTTCTATATGTGACATCGCGTTAAAAGAAAAAGTAACAAAAAGTGCATTTAAAAATCGTTACTTTACTGACAGAGCATGGAATTGTTAAAAAGAACTTCTGAGAACGGGAGGTGCAAGATTTAAAGTTTGCGACTCTTTTGATGGTGAAAATCGCAAAGTTTAAACTGTGCAAATTGTTCGATGCACTTATTTCTAGTTCATTGCAATTTGCTGTCCTTAACATCAACATTTTACGATTTCTGTGTTTTCACAAATTAATTGGTTTTGTAGCTTCGTTACTATGATGAAGTAAGCGATGTTCATTGTCAAGGTGTTGTCAACTAATGTGAAATTATTTCATGTGAAATGTCACAGTTGAATTGTAAGTTTTATTTCAATATTTTGCTCTATAGTCTTATTTCTTCCATGGTTTTTACGAACTTTTAAAACAAATCACTATTGACTTCGGTTGCATAACTGAGAAAAGCGACTTTTCTGTTAACTTTGGATTTTTTGGGGAGGGTGTTTTGTGTTCCAATGTTAAAACTTCTCCTGGGATATTACTTAAGAGCAAATGTCTTTGTGCACCAGCTTGAATGAATTGCAAAGTTTTAAGCTTCTTTGATACCTGTAGAAAGGATATTTATTTCTGTATATAAAAACTAATAATATATTTAAGTATTGAACAAGTTGCAATTACGTATTTAATTGTACGATAAAACTGTAAACATGATTACATGATAGTAAAAGTGCTGTTATTGTATTGTCGTGTTTTTTTTTACAAAAATTGTGAATTTCATTGATATTTTTAGCAAACGAGAAGCAAGTTTTTTTCGACGTAAGTAAATATATTTGTGTATCTTTCCTCGCTGTGTTGTTTGTTTGAAGCTTCAAGGTGCACTAAATCATCACGAATTTCGATTGGTTTAAATTATTGTATGAAAAACTATTTAGTTAATCGTGCTTGTTATTTTCTGTGAACGATGTAAGCGGGGCTAGCATTAAATAATGGTATTAAGCTCTTTTATAAACTTTTAATTTTTCCCTGAAGCTTAAAGATGATCCTTTCTTTACCACTTTTAGTCAATTTGGCTTGACATTGAAAAAGCAATTTAATATTTTACGCTGATAACATTGAACCCTGTTTTTAAATCTTTGAAATATAACCGATGGAAACAATGATGCATGTAAAATACTTATTCTTCTTAAAGACTACTTTTACTGCCTTATATGCTTCTATAGCTTCGTACAGAGAAACTATTGTATAATTTGTATGCTGCGACGGAGGAAGAAGCCAAAAAATGGATATCTAAATTACAAAGCTGGGATACGTAGAGCTTCGACGGTCCAATCAGGAATTTCATTATAATCAAAAGAAATGTTGTGCATATGTGAGATATTTTAACATTTTAGTACACATATTTAGGGTAATTTATGTATGTATTTTAATTTTTTTAAATAATAGTATCATTTTGAGACACGCACACGTTTCAAATTATCATGACTGAAATAACCAATACGAATTTTCGTAGTATTTCCACATCTTATAAAAATAGTGTGACACCAGTTATAATCACTGAAGCTATTTATTTCTCATTATCGCGTAATATAACAATAAGAGTCGCAATACTATCAAATTGTAGGCTAACAAGTTTGACTTATCTGCTCTGTCTGAACACTACCCCCAGTCTAGAGTACGTGATTGCAACAATGATTCACAATAGTTTTTCCAAATAGATTAAAGGCACAGAAGCCAAAAAGGCTTAGTTGATGTCTCCAAGACTTGTAGGGTGTTGTTTTGTCAACGTACACCGCCGTATAAGTTATCTTCAATTTGCTGTGCCTCGTAAATTGTCCTCAATAAGTTGTACCCTGTAAGTTGTTCTCATGCAATATAGTTAAATTACTTACATATATATATATATACTAATGCCACAATAAAAACCAGAATAAAACCTTCAGTGCAGTTCTATAAAATATGCTCACGCATGCAAGAAAGCTTCTAGATTTCCTTCTAATAATGACTATAGATTTCTATTGAATTACCTTGATGAGGAAAATGTCTTGGATGCAGCTGTTTAAAATATAATGGAGGACGTGAAGACTCTCGTTTGCATTGTGGTTGTAGAACATACTTCGTATTAGGGAAGCTAAATAATATAAAAAATCGCTGGGAGAGGTAGCGCTCTGACCTTTTAGCAAAATTTTAGGAAAATTGCATATTGCTCATACATAGTTAGTATATCCAATGTTTGCCACTAATTGGAAAACATTTGTATTTTAGGTTGTTTAATTAAAACCGTCAGTGAGTGTTTTGCTTGCTATTTTCATGTTCATATATAATAAAACGAAGACATAAAATTTTTGTTCTGTTTATGTTTCTTTCAAATTTCTTGAATAATTAAACAAGTTTGTGTGTTGCAATTTTCAGCCGGTATTTAAATATTATGCTAAAAATATATCAGCATTTACACTCTTTCTGTGCAATTTAATTTATAAATGACATTTAGTTATAAGTACTAGAGAAATGAGCAAAGTAATAAAGCGAGCATATGCACTACGATAAAAACAACACAAAGTTATAATTCAATTATACATCTAATGTTTTGCTCAATCAATGATCACTATATTATTTAAATAATAATATGATTAACAACAATAAAAATCATAAGGCGTAATACCCTTGTTTTACATAACAATATATTCCTACGATGGTTCAAATTCCTTTGCATAAAAACATTTATTATACACGGAATTAAAGGATGCGTATGATGTTTTTATGAGATTATTTCAAGAAAGTTGAAGTTATCAGTTCAAGGTATGACACACAGAAAATATATAAAGTTGTAATTACTATACGTCATAGACGATCAGTTATTTTATCTGTAATATTAATGATTTCGTACTTCAAATATATTCTTGGCTTGCTTTAATTCTCAAGCGTTAAAATTTTAACAAAACCAATCGTACTCAATAAACATTTAACAATTATTTGTCGTGCGTTCCTTTAAAGCAGTGAGTTATGATTAAAGGGAAACATAATTGGACGATTTTAAGTTTAAATGCAGACCGGGAGTCAGACAATTCGACGATTTAAAAATCAATAAAATTTATTCATAACATGAATATATAGTAGTAATAAAATAAGGCCAAATTAAGCGTTGTATTTATTTGTCTTCTGATATAAATTTGAATCCTTCACAGAATGACTAGTATATAGCGTAGACACACTATAGATGAATTTTGAAGAGTGAATTTTATGTATTTTAAAAATAAAATATTTTGTTTGAGCTTTTACACTAGCCTTTTCAATGTCTTATTTGCGTCTAAGCCATATATGCGACGACATGTGAATTATATATAATTTAAATAAACTACTTCATGATAGGTGAGTGCGTACGATTTAAAACTCAACGTGGACAATTCCTTTCTTACGAAGGAACTTAATTGTTTTGTATTTTCCCTTGTTCCTTTTCTTTCGGACCGAAATGTAATGTTTTCCTGAGATATTCACGAAGTTGCTTGACGGAAATGTCGTCGATGCTCTGGGATCTATATTTATTTCGGCAATAAAAATTTATAAAGAAGTCTATGCCCGTATACTAAAACGTGAATGAAAAAATTGAATGTTTGATCGTTTCATAGTAATTTTCTAAATCATGATAGAAACTAAACTACAATCAGATGGAATTTATGGAAATCTTTCACAAATTGATTTATTGACATGAATGCTGCTGTCCAAACTGTGAATTTTTTTCAAGAGGGTGAAAAATTTATGGATAAATTGTAAATGTTTTGCAAAGACGATCTCGCGAGCCACATTTTAGTCAGGGGCGGATCTAGAGTATGCCAAACCCGTCGCGCGACTGATTTTTGAAATTCAAAAATTACCTATTCATAATAATTAAAAATTCATTAATTATTCTTACTTTATTATCGCATTTACTTCGTGATAAAAATCCAGCTTTATTTATTATTAAAAACTAATGACTAATGCAATGAATATCTCGTTGGTAACTAGATCAGTTGAATTTTAATTGACCTGGAATAACCGACTGATAAGCGGGGTGGCTTGACTGGTTCGACAGATAAAGGAGTCTATGAACGCCAAAAACGCTTATTTCATTGGTCAATAGTCAGATCAGTGGACGATCTGGAATAATCTCGACCGATAAGCCAGGTGGCCGGACCTATAAGGGAGTCCACTTGCTATCGTGTGATTGGTTCGTTTAAATTTTTGTCTTACTGTGATTGGTTTGACCGATTTCGACTGATAGCCAACTGAACTAACATAGTCAAGCTCACTGTCTGAATTGAATGTTTGATCGTTTCATAGTAATTTTCTAAAGCATGATAGAAACTAAACTACAATCAGATGGAATTTATGGAAATCTTTTACAAATTCATATATTGACATGAATGCTGCTTTCCAAACTGGGAATTTTTTCAAGAGGGCGAAAAATTTATGGATGAATTGTAAATGCTTGGCAAAGACGATCTCGCGAGCGACATTTCAGTTATTGATGTTCCAAAGCAAGCCAACGCTGTTTTGAGTTTTATCAGCAGAAATTTACATCCAAAATCGTAAGTAAAGGACAACTGAATTGTATGCATGAATGTAATATATCAAAGTCAATTTATGCGAGCGTGTGATGCGATTTATGTTAATATGGCGTATGGTAAGCAGATCGATGCTTCTAAAATTGTTGTTGACGAAGGACTTTTAGCTATGATTTCTTTAGTGCTTGGGGAATCGTGACCGTTATATGGCAGCGAAATCCTACATTCCTGCAAATATATTTCAATGGACAAAAAATCTGTTGCCATAAGGCGCCATACTATTATTTACTTTATCATAAACAAATGTTTGGGGCTTTTCAGTTTATGATCATTAATCATTCAATCATTAGACAGTTATACTACATATTGTTTAAGATTTGAGAAAACTAACATTGATTACATGAGAAGCTGTTCACTATAACCTGTGATTTTGAGTCTTCTGATCCATGAAGCTTTTTATTTTGACAATTTGACTGGAATGGTATTGAACCTTAGTATTTCACATACATGAAATGTTGCCCCATGTCACATATTGTCCCCTTTTCTAACTGAACACCTCATGTAGAGATGTAAAGGTGTGTTAATCTACGGCTCATACCAGATTGTTTGCTATAAATTCCAAAGGGCTATTGATGTATGAAAAGCATTTTCTATAAAGTAAAAATGTCTTCTTATGTATGCAGATAAACCTTGAAATTTGGCAAAACAGCAAAGTACTTTTCATGATCACTAGGTAATTTTTCTGATGATCATTATAATTTCTAAACTAAATTATTTCAGATTTACATTTAAACGAGCTTTGATCATATGAAAAGATATTTATCATAACCAGTAAGCATGACACATGAACCAATTTTAACATTCATGTAATTATATAATTAAAGGCATGCCGGTTACATTCTGTTTGTATTTGCAAATACAATGCTACTAGTGATTGCTATATAGCACACCTTGCAGAAGATAATAGAGAAGTGAAATGCCTAATAAACATTTATGGCATTAAGCTGTCCTTAACTGCAAATTTTCACTCTGATAATTTTTGCTTAATTTTGGCAGAAAAAAATTTTGAGTTTTTTCTCAAATGGTGAATTTGCTGCCACCGATGTGGAGATGGGTAAAGGGTTACAATAAACTTGCATGGTGTGAAGTCTGAACTTTTCTATATCTATGAACTGTCATTTGTAGTACCAAATTTCTAACTTAACTCATTACATAGAGGTTTGAATGGGGGTCTCTAGGGGGGTCTATGCCTGACAACTTGGTAGAAATTTTTAAAGACTATATCTGTTTTTGAATAGCATTATTGTAAAATAAATTTTACGTTCCTGGACATGCTAATGAGCCATATATTTGGCATGATATTGAGTCTAAATATTTGGCAAAACATTCAAGTATTGTTTACTTAAGTTTTTTTTATCGAAAAAAACGAAAGCAAAATGTGTTTTTACGCAAAAACGATGCCCACAAAATACATTTTGTATTGCTCTAAAACGCTGAAAATGGCATTCCCAAGGCTCTGAATTTCAAAATTTCATAGGGGAGAATGCTTCGGAGTCCGTAGTTCGGACCCCCCCAAGTGTGGAGCGCCTCCGACGTTTTATGACTGATGTTTGAACAATCCTGATCCGCCCCTGGCCTAAACTAGATATTCTATATGAATTGAAAGTGTGCTTTGTTTCCACATTTAATTTTCATTGCCTGAAGAAATTACGTCAGCTTGAATCGTTACTTTTCCAAGGCTGAATCATTTTTCATTCTCGTGATTGGAAAATGTTTATAACAATATGTGTTTACCAGGTTTAAAAGTCCTCTTGTTCCACTGTCACATTGTCAATACTTGATACACAATCACCAAACTCGTTTTTCAAACCTGTTCTACTTTTACCACTTGTTAATAAATTTATCATATCTTTATTTGCAAAGC